GCTGCCCTGGATCCCTGGCAGTGCCCAAGGCCAGGCTGGACACTGGGGCTGGAGCAGCCTGGGACAGTGGGAGGTGTCCCTGCCATGGCTGGGCTGGCACTGGGTGGGATTTAAGGTCCCTTCAACATTCTCTGATTCTGTGATTCTGTGCTCAGAACAGGGCAGTGACAAAAGGATTTGTTGTTGTGTGGATCTGCAGGGCTTTCCTGCTCCAGCACAGGGGTCACAGCTGCTTTCACAGACTCCAAGAAGCCAGACAGGGACTGCACAGCTGCTCCGTGCTGGTGGGCTGCTCTGGAATTTATTTTTTTTCCCCCACAAATCCTTGTTTGATATTTCCTTGGTGAAAGGACATTGCTTGGGCAATACCTTGCAGGAGGCAGCATCTGTCTGTGAGGATGTAGGTGATTGTGGGAGTGCTAGCTCAGTCTGAAATGCTGTTTTAGGGGCAGAGCACAGGGACCTCTGTGTCTCACCCAGGATAGGAAAAGTTCTCTGGGCTGGAGCAGTGGAAGCTGAGTGAGCTGAGTTAGAGCCTGTAACAGTCTGTACAAGGTCGACTTGTGTGATTAAACCTCTGTCATTCAGTTCACACTCTGGGAATATTTTCATTTCAGAATCAGACCTAAGTATCTGTGAAGTGTGCTCTCTCCAGAAATTATTTGTTAATTAGTTTTCAAAAGAGAGAAGGAAAAATTTAAATCCTGTGGGTTAAGAATTAATAGGAGAGAGGGTCACAAATACAACATATATATCTATAAATACATCTATATCTATATATCTATACATCTATATATCTGCTATACTTTACCAGGACAACAAGGACAGAATCTATCTAATTTTGTGGCAGTATAGAATTCCTTAAATATATTGTGGGTAAAAAACATTGTTAGAAAGGTTTGTTAGAATATTTTACTGATACAGGGAAAAATCACAACCAGCAAAGCAGATGTAATGAGAGTTTTCAGCATTTCTTTTTTCATATAGACACAGTGAAAAACTGTTGTTATTTGAAATAAACTCACTGTTAGTGTTTAATTTCAGATTTTGACTCAGAAGAGAGGCATTGTTGTGTGAATGTCTCCTTTCAGTGCATAACCTCTGATAATTATTGCCTTAGGTATGATAATTCTTATATTTAATGGAGTGAAGTAATGCAAAGATTACATAGCAGATATATGTTACTTAATGCAAAATTAAAATTCACTGCCTCCCTACAATAATGTGACTTTCAGTTTTGGAATCTTATGTGAAAAATATGTTGTATCATTTTTTAATACCTGTTATTTTCTTACGTGAAGCACATCTTCCTGCAAGCATAAGAATCTAGAAGAAATACTGAGAAACTTCTCAGTTATTTCTGAAATATTTTGTGTCTTGTGATTAAGAAGACTTCTTTTTCATCCCTAGAAGACAAACAGTGGGCAGGGTGAGAGTTCAGGGAAAAATGGCATTTCTGTCATAAGCTTGTAATTTTTGTTTTTATTTCTTAAGCTCAAAATATAGACCTGGTGGATATGTGATGACTGATTTCTGATTAAGGGAACACAGTTTTTAAATGCTTCTGTGTTCATCTTCCTGCACCTTTAAAAAAAATAAAAATTTGAAAAAATAAAATCCCAACAAACAGTAAAACAGATATTGAAGGGCAGCAGTGTATCAGTCACAGTCAGTCTGTTGTCCCCTGGGACCTCTTCCAGGTCTGCTCCCTCTCTGTATAAATGAAGTGTTTAGTGCTTCAGTGTTTTACATAATGTTTTCTTGAATGATCTGAAGGGGAAGTAGAAAGCACATTAGTTACATCTGCAGATGAGGCAGAGCCAGAGAGCTACAGCAGCTGTAAGGATGGTGAGAAATTTAAATTCATCTGGGGAGCAGCAAAGTGCAGGAATTTACAAAGCTAAGGAAAAAAAATCTAAAATTCACCGTTACGAATTTACAGAATCACCTCGGAAATGTGATCCAAACCAAAGACGTGTTGCTTGTCAAATTAGCTTAGTGAGGTGTTAATGATGTTTTCTTTCACTCCTGCAGTAAGCAAGAGCTGTTTATCTTGATATCCCAGCCGGTTAACTGTTTGTTGTGGTATCCTGATCTTTAACCACTTCCACTGCATCTCCCTGGAACTGTTTGCAGTTTCCCTACTGTGGCTTTGGCGATGAAGGACAAATAACTGAGCTGTTCCTTGCTGTAGTTGCAAGGAAAATCTTAGCAACGAACATCTCCTTTTCAACGATATACTTTTTCCCCTTAATTTTAATTTTAATAGAATTATGTCTGCAATTTACACGCTTGTCCCAAATTCAGAATCCTTGGATGTAAAATTGTGTTGTTTGGTCATCTTCTCCTCTACTAGTCTGCTTTCCAGTTCGGGATGCCAGCAGGACTCCAGAGCAGAACTGCCCCAATATTTCTTTTTTCTTTAGGTTGTTTTAGTCCTGATTTGGGAATTCAGTGGGCCTTTTTGGCTTATCAGCCTCTCAGCACAGGGCTCCTGGTGGGGCAAACACCACTCAGCTGTAATTTGCCGAGATAGCAGCGTTGCTATTGTTAGTGCTGACGTCTCTGTGTTAAATAGGTGTTGTAAAACAATTCCGTGCCGGAGGAACAGCCTCAGGGAAGGGGATTTTGGTGCACTTTGTGTAAATTTGTGCTGTGTGAGGTGGGCAGAGAACAACCACACAATCCAGGATCATGGAATTGCTGGGTGCTTTGGGATGGAAGGCACCTTAAAGCCCATCTCATTCCACTCCTTTCCATGTCCCTTTCCAAGGGACACCTCCCACTATTCCAGGCTGTCACATTAGTTTTGTTTTAATTAGGGCTGTATCCAAACATTCTGTGTTTTCCTGGAGGTAGCTGGATAATGTGCTCCCCACAGCTATTCTAAATTAAGATAAGATGGCTGTGGGAGAAGGGGGGATAAAGAAGAATGCTTGTTTTGCAGAAAACCTTGCTATTTTTTTCCTTTTTTAGCTGATTTGCCAGCACCTTTATGATAAATTTAGGCCTCCTGGTGATGGGCTTGCTCTGCTCAACTTTGTGGGCCTTCCTAGAAATGGTCCACAGTTCTCAGTGTCTCATACACAGAAGCAGGACAATGAATTTTACTGTGAGAAAGTAGGTAATAATCAGTTGCTTCACATAAAGCCTGAATTAAAGGCTAATTTAAAGATTTAAAAGTTAGGCAAATCAGTTTAAAAGTCAGTTTAAGTCAAATTAAAGTCAGTGTTTGACTTCAATACCTGCAATGATGGACCCATATTCTGTGTCCCTGTAGCAGTGCTGTTTGGTTTTTTTTAATAATTATAATTGCATTTGGAGTGTCTGCTGTGTGTCTGTGTGATTTTGGTTGTGCAGTAGAACCACGCTTTCAGAATAATTCTACTGCTAGTCACTTCAACCTGTTTTAGGATTATGAATTTTTTACTGTTTTTGTGCAGTGAAAAGTGTAATTTGTTTGTCCTGATTAAATATATTTGCCTATACCTGGTCTCAGTTGAATATATTAAGGCAGAAGACAAAAATTATGTGCTCTCCTTGCTATTTCCTTCACGTTAAAAGGTTGTGATGCCGTTTATCTGTGCTACTGTGCCTCTCTATCTCTGTGAATTCTTTATCCAAATAGCATGGTGGTGGCTTGCAAGTGATGAAAAACAGTTTCCTTTACACAAACGTCCATCTTTGTTACTGCTGTCAGACAGCAAGTGTGATATTCAGGGGGTGCACGCCAATCTGTGGGCTACTGATAGCGTAATCTAATTTCCAAAAATAAATTAAAAGCATCTTTTCATCTGTAGCCATCAGATGTATGCCTAAAGACAACAACACTTTAGAGACAGCACATGTGAATTTGGTGGCTAATTGGAAATGAAACCTTCGGGTTTTCCACATTTTCTGATAGGCTGACCTTGCTGAAGGAGGTCAGGATGGTATCATGTGTTGGGGCAGAGACTTCCACAGATAAAAGGTCCACGTGGAAGGACTGTTCCTTGTTTCAGACAATGTCTTTGATAGCTTTTACCGAGCCTTTTTCAGCCAAAACTTCTGCATGGCATTAGTGAAACTTGCATTTGAAAAAGGTAACAAGCAATAGGCATTTTTTTAGTAGATGTCTCTATGTGATTTTACATGCCCTCCCAAGTAAAATGGGGGAAAAATAAATCAAACCACATTTCTGATTTTAACGGGTGAGGTGCCACAACACAGAGTGAACTTTTCCCTAGTGTGTACCACTTACATCTATGCCTTTTTAAAGATGTTATAGCTGTGTATTCAAGTTGGAAAGGTGGGTAATACTTCCCTCCATAGGGAAGTGCCACAAAATTTATGTCAGTCTTTTTGATAATCGCAAGATGAGAGAGATGACCCTTTCTCCTTCTTCCACTCCCTCAAACTATTGTGTTAGATATTAATGTGTCTTCACCCGGGCTGGTATGTTTATAGCTCAGCTGGTTTGTAGTATGGCTGAGCTATTCCTCCTTTAACATGACATAAACAACAGTTTTCTGTTGTTTATCCCAGACCAGGCAAAACAAATGTGTTCAGACCTCCTGTATGTCCTGTACAACATCCCCATTGCTGAAGAAACACAGTGGTTCATTACAGATCCTTTAGCCTCACTGGCTTGATGAGGCTGCCTGTTTAATTGGAGGAGTGCTTTTAAGATTAGGGAGTTGCTGTCTAAACCCTGGAGGTGACAACTTGCTGGCTTAGGTGTTTCATATTAGCTGCATGAATCACAGAATCCCAGAATATTTGGGGCAGGAAGGGATGTCTGGAGAGATCCTTCTCACCATTGTGGCCCTCTAGAAATAATTACCATGTATATTATTCCACATATTCCTCCATTCTCCACATGACAAAATTATCTCCCTTTAAACTTGAGGACTGTAAGGTATTTCCTATGCTTATTAAAGATGTATTCAAGTTTACGGGGGCAAAGCCTCAGTGAAGTTTCTTGTGCAGTTGAAATAGTTCATTCTTTCCTTGTGTCTCAGTTCAGACTTGGATCTCTGAAGCTGCAGGAAGTCCCAAACCCAGCAGAGGTGATCAAAGAACTCATTGGTTACTGCCTGGACAGCCTGGGAAAGCTGCAGGCCAAAACTGAGCATCTGCAGAGGGAAAATGAAAGGCTTTTCAGCAATTGCAGCGATGTGGAGAGGAGGTGAGTTCACAGGTGACACCTGAGAAGCTCAGCAGCAGTGGACAGAAATTTTTATTCATTTGAGACATATTTTGAGCTCAGTTAACCACAGCCCATGTGGTTGTAGATCTCCTCTGTTTGATAAAGATGCAGCTGATACTAAAAATTTGCAGGGGGTTTTAGCTTGTAAGATTAAAAAAAATCCCAAACAGGTCAAAATCTGTGGAATTAGTTTCACTTTCTTTAGGAAGCCTTTTCATTAATATTATTTCCTATGATTCTTAGGACTGGCAGTGTAAATTATTTACATTTTTGAGTGGGGAATAAATTGCTGTTTCTTTCATCTGTTTTCTTTGTTGAAGAAGCTGGAATTGAAAAATGAATGTAGTATTATAGGAAAAAGTATCATTATTTTTCAAGAGATTTTTGTAATTGCTGTTGCATTTACAATCTGAGTTGTCTGTCATTCTGTAGTGAAATAATCTGTGCTTGTTTCAGTAAGCACACAACTCTTAGCACAGAGCAGTCAGAGATTTATCTTGCTTTTCTGTAGCTTTACCTGAAAAAACACACAGTCTAGGAAGATTGATGAAAGAATGCAGCTAATTTGTGTTAATTTACCTTGAAAAAGAGAGCCAGCTTTTGGGAGGAGTTAGTTTTGTTTCCCTCTCATTAAAATGAGTAACAGTTTCTCCTGACAGTCTCCCTGACAAGCAGAGGGCCTCCCTAAGTAGTGTTTTACTGCTTAACAGTGTAATTGAACAATAGTGTATTGTATAACCCGTGTTCTGTACTGCATTACACGCTGATGTGTAAGAGGCATTAGTGCTTGTATCAATTTCCATGGTGGGGTGGCACTTCTACAGAGAAACCCCAAAGAAAAGGAGGAAAAAGAAAAAAAAAAATCAGAGTTACGTGACTTTGTTCTCAGTGAAAGCTGGTGGATTTCTTTAGCATGTTTATAGTTTTGGGTAGATGAAAAATGGTTTTTCAGAATATACACCGAGTGTTCTGTAGTCACCAGTCTTTGGCCATGTCTGTTAAATGCTGAATAAAAATAATTTAGAAATCATTTCCATTCAAGAAGTATTGGGCTTTTTGGTTTGATTTTTTGGGGGGTATTTGGGATTTTTTTTGTTTTGTTTTGTTTGGGGTTTTTTTTGTTTTGTTTTGGTTTTATATTTTGGTTTTATTTTTTGGTTTTGGTTTTTTTGGTTGATGGTTTTTTGGTGTTTTTTTTTGTTTGGTGTGGTGTGGTGTTTTCTTTTTAAATTCTTGTTGCCACAGCCCAGGTCTACCCTGCTGCCTCCCTTTGCTGTTTCAGCTCCAAACGCTTCGAGGTGCCCCCAGCTGAACAAAGCTGTGCCTGTCTTTGTTCAGGAGGCAGGAATTCAGGATTTACATCCTGCACCACTCACGGTGCTGAGTGGTGGAACATCAAATACGGAGCACGTGGTGTGCAGAACTGCAGCCAGGGCATGCCGGTCCCACAGCCCCTGCAGCTCCCTCTGCTCACAGCCTCTCTCCTCAGGACTTCCTTAGAATTAAAACATAGCAGGCAGGCTTCTGAGAGCTGCTTTTGTGCCCCATAGCTGTGGGGCACTGGGTGGAATCATTCAGTAATCCCGTTTCCATCTTCCTGTTTGAATTCTGTTGACCATCACGGAGATTTTTGTGAGCAAGTGGCTGCCTGGGGTTGAGTGTGGGTGTCTGTGTGTGAACACCTCAGGGATGGATGAGTTAAAATATCAGAGCAGAATAACTATTTTCTTTATTTCTTACGGAAAATTCAAGGCCAGTTAGTTCCAGGCCAGGTTGGACACTGGGGTTGGAGCAGCCTGGGACAATGGAAGTTGTCCCTGCCTGTGGCAGGGGTGGCACTAGGTGGGCTTTAAGGCCCCTCCAACCCAAACCAATCTGGGATTCCATGATAATGGAGGTGGCAAATTTTAAGTAATAAAAACCTGTAGCAAAATAATTCCTTGAACAATAAAAATGCAATTTCTGGTTTGGGCGTGGGGTATGTCTTTTGTTTTCGGGCGTCCAAAATTTGTGTAGACAAGCCAAATTCAAAATAGCTGCCAATTTATGTTGTGGTCATCTGCAGCGACAGTGTATTTAAACCACAAGCAGATTATAAAAATGCAAGCTAGGTACTTTGGGCTTGAAACTGAGTCTTCAGGATTAGCTCATAAACATTCCATACCATTGCCAGTGCTGGGGGAAGGGTGAATCTGAAGTGCAAGGGAGCAGTGCCGTGAGATCCAGGAATCATTTTAGAGCACTGGGAACAGGGATGAATACCAGAGATGCTGAATTATTTCCTTCATAGTGTTGGATTGTAAAGGTTGCCACTAATAATTAAAGAAAAAACCATTAAGTTTCATAGCTGATGTTCACCTCTGTAGAGCATGAGTGATTGCTCTGTGTTGGGTCAGCACTTGAAATCTTGTTTTTTATAAGTAATGTCTCAGTTTATTGTTTGTCATAGTCCTGACAGTGGCTGGTTTCAGTGGGCTGTGCAGGATTTTTGATATCTGTCACCTTGGGTGCCTTTTGGCACATGGAAATCATTGCAGAGAGACCTGAGGATGCACAAACTGGGAGGCACCACTCCAATAATTAAGCCCCATTTGGGATCACCGTGCTGGGAGCTGTCTGTGAGATGAGCAGCTCCTCCATTTGGCCTGGGGAGGTGGTGTTTGAGGGGCACAGGGCACACTCAGGCAGCACCACGTGAGGAATGGCAATTAAAGTTTGTGTTTGCAGCCACTGAGGTATTGGAGTGAAACCCAGCCAGCTCTGGGCTCAGGTGCTGAATCCTCAGTGAGTCCAGAAGGGTCCACAGAGCCACCCCCACCTGCCCAATTAATGCATCTCTGTCCCCAGGACCTCTGCCTTTTACCAGTCTCTGCTAAACTATCAGATATGCCATTTATTAGTGTATTTTAAAGGCTCATTAGTTGCAAGTACAGCATTAATGTGATGCTTCTGTGATACTCAGTGTTTTGCCAAATTAATGCCATTCTGTGTCTGGAGAATGTATTTGGATGTGGATACCTCTGAATAATGGGGAAAAAATAAAAAAAAAGGTGTTCATGTAAATGAAAACAATCATATAAGATTAACTGATGGCATACTACTAATTGGTTCTGCCCAGAGGGAAAAGTTAATATTCTAATTCTGATATTCAAGATGCTAATTTTTTTCTCCAGAGACTAAAGAAATTGGCTAGTCTTGCAGTTTGTTTCTCCTCTGTGCTGCTCACAGTCCAGGCAGCATCAGCTTCACTTCACTGGAAGTGTCCATTTATGTGTGTTTTCACCAGGGGATGTCTTTGCAGCACTCAGGGGCTTCACTGAAGTTATCTTAAATGGCACTTTTTTGGCCCAGTCAGCCACATTTCTCAATATTTGAACCAGCTTCAACTGCTCCAACACAGACCAGTGCCTTGTCAAAGTAAAGGCAGAGAGCAACCACTTTGCCTGGTTTATGTGTGGGAGAGGGGATTATTCTATAGGATTTGATACAGAAAGATTAGCATATTTTAGACAAAATCCTTTCCCCCCCCCCATCTTTAGGTATATAGAAATAATTAGTATCAAGCATGTCCAGGCTCTTCTGGGCCCTGCATTAGGGTTTATGGTTCTTTGTGAATTGCCTATTTATTCCCCACTAAACAGTTAACTTCCCTTTTGTAGGTGGAAAGTCTCCTGGTAGTTGATTAGTACCTATGATCTTTCATTTAGGAATTATTGAACAGATCTGTATGGTAATGATGTTCTGCTATTTGCATTTAAATTAGATGAATTATTTATCAACTATCAAGCATATCCCTAAAGCATTGAACAGTAGGCTTAATGCTTCATGAGATTTCACACATTTCACCACAACATAAAAATTGTTAGATTTTTTTTTTGCTATTGTCTTGCTTCCTACATCATATATGGTTTTGATCTGTGAACAAAATAATTAGTATTTATGTAGGAAATCTGTTGAAATCTCTTGCCTTATAAATTAATATTTTTAAAGTCTGTTACATGTCTGGGTTTAATAGCATAATAAGCCCTCTAAACTTTTTTACAGCCTTGCACAGGCTGGTGAAAAATATGTTTTTGACTTATGACTATTCACTATACTTGCCATGATCAGTAAGATTATCAAGATGTTTATTTGCTTCTTGTGTATACAGCTAATAAAATGTTTGTGGTTCAACCCAAGGACTGAAAGGTTATGAAATATAAGAATTAAATACAGAATTACATTTGCCACAAATCACTTGATTTGTTGTGCTCAGGTTTGCTTGTATTCCAGTTTTGCTTATGAGACTTCATACACCCATATTCTTAATTTAATATTCCCATTGTGCTTCTTTTTACTGGCATTCATCTACCCACATGGATGAATACTAAATTTTTTCAAAACCCTGAAGTATATTTTCCTTTGAAGAAATTAAGAGCTTCTAAGCATTTTTATATTTTGGAATTTTCTTGTCCTCTTCAAATATATTTCACACCAATGTGTGCTCCATGTTTGAAACCTGACAAGGTGAATCATATCTCTTTATAATCTTATGATGTGTATCCTCCTAAGATATGCCCACTGTTGCGATTCAGCATTGAAAATAAAGAGCATTAGAATTGTTTAAATTTTAGTTGTCTTGGGTGGAGGTGTGCAAGGACCTACCAAAAAAACCTCAAAAAACAAACAAAACCAAAACAAAAACTAAAACAAAAAACCAAACCAAAACAAAAACAAACAAACAAAAAAACCAAAAAAAAAAAACAAAAAAAAAAAACAAAAACAAAAAAACAAAAAAACACCAAAAAACAAAACAAAACAAAAAACCCCCCCAAAAAAAAGCATGAAGAGAAGGGTTCACATCTGGAACTTTTCCCTTTTGGAAGCAGAGTTCATTGCACTTCTCTGTGGAAAAACAACAAAAAAAGGCTTATTCTGGCCTGTTTCAGACACAAGGTGCTGGACCAGTCGTGCGTGGTTTGGAGTGGGGATTCCTGGCTGGCCTCAGGACAGAAATGTCTTCTAGGGAACAGAATGATTGGTGTAACAGTTAATTTTGTGCTGCAGGCTGGAAAAATGCGTGGAAGCTAAAGAGGAGCTGGAGGCAGACCTTTACAGCAGGTTTGTTTTGGTGCTGAATGAAAAGAAGGCAAAGATAAGAAACTTGCAGAAGTTGTTGAGTGAAGCTAAAGAATCTGCAGCGGATGCCAAGTGTGCAAGGTATTTAATTTCCCTGGGTTTCTTGGTGTGGTGCACATTTGAGTTTAGCTTAGTTCAGTTTCCATTTCCTTGGCCCTGACAGTGAGTGACAGTTCTTCCTGGCTGAGTGCTGGGTTATCCAAACCAGTCCTGGAAGTCATGGAAGAGGAGGATTCTTTCTGGCATCCCTGCAGGCAGCAGCATATTGCTGTGGGTGCTGTAGCCAAGAAGTGAGTGTTTGATGGATCTGTCCTGCTTTCTGCTGGGCTGCAATTGATTTTCCAATCAGATCATGTCCCTGCCTTTTCCATAGCTGGTGATTTAATACATATTCTCCCTGAATGATTTAATTCCTTTGAGAAACAAAAATACCTTAATTCCTTTCCCTTTCTTTTGATGTTTTTAGGGATAGTATCGCTGCCACTCAGATGTTTGTAAAGAGAGAAAACGACTATGATGCCAGCACTGATGAGGAAAGTGAAAATCCAGCACGGGCCTCGTTGCCATCAGGTAAGACAGAAAGCATTGTCTTCGTGTTATATCACAGACAGGCTTTGTGTGAATAAACCTTAAGGAAGGCAAAAGACTACCTGACAGATTGCTCTGTGACAAGCCAGCCAGCAAGCCTTAAAAATACCTCTCCTGGAGCAGAGTACAATACTGGCATTTTCAAATTAGAGAGGGGAGCTTTAAAAGCATGTTGCAGGAGTGAAGGCACTGTCATTTCTTGCAAAGTGACAAATTACACACTTTGCAGAACTAATGACAGTCTAACAGTATCTGAACCATCAACAATTCCATTTTAAATTCTAGGAATCATGATGTGTGTGCCGTGATTGATAAAGTGTAAAAGGTAGCTCCTGACAGTTTCAATAGTGTTTAAAAAGGGGAAAGAGAAGAGGTTTAACAGCTATAAAAAGAGCTGTGTGCATAAATGGAATGAAAGTGTATTTATAGCAGAATCCACTTTAATTTGTCAAAGATTTTTTGGCCTTGTGAAGATGCTCATGAAACTTAATCTGATGAATTTTTCCAGGACTAGAGCCTTGTAAAAAGTGTGTGGGATGAAGTGATGGCCCATTATACAATACAAAATATTTAACTGTGAATCAGCATTTTGGCATGTTTGTGATAAACTAGTGGGAATACCCAGGGCAAATGCTATCAAAGTTTCAAAACTGCATTTCAAAACTGTAATATGGCTTATATGAAGGTATACATATATATATACATATGTGTATAAAAACAGATATATAAGCTTCCCTTCAGGTCTGCAAAGGTTGCTATGGGTTCTCTCACTGGAGCTTTTTATTTCCACCACAGGTAAAGGTAATCCAGACAAGAGTGTCTTCCTGTAAAACAGCAATTTTCTGTGCACACTGGGAACTGGGAGTGATCAGGACCCTGGTGCCCATGGCAAACAGCTTTGTCACTCATGTGGGACTGTTGCTGAGGAATTTCTGGCTTTATATAAAGTAGGCAGAGCTTCAGATAAGTGGAGGAAATTGTGATCAGAGAAAGAAATTAATACTGCACTGTGTTCTCCAGAAGTCTTTGCTGTCAGGTAGTTCAGGTAACATGATGAGAAATTTGAGAAATTTCTTTTGTGAAAAGGCAAGGAAAAGTGGAAGGTGTGAAGCTTTCTTCTAAATTCAGTGGGGCCTGACTAGCTCAGTGAGAGTTTTGAGACAGAGGTTTGTATTTAATAATGAAAACAACACCCACTGCTCTGCTTAGGCAATCGTGAGGGACTGGACTGGAAAATATACCAGCTATGTTTTTATTTTAGGTGCAAACAAAAAATGTACTTTCTTTTGTCTTTGAGGGGTGCACTCCTCAGGGTTTTGATACTGACAGGAAGAGTTCAGATGCAAAATTTGCAGATAAGAAGACCATAAAGTTAATGCTCTGGGTAACACACTCAAGTTTTTCAAGGCAATGGCACTTGAGCCCTCACAGTGAATATCCCTGAGGTCAGTTGGTGCTCTTCCTGTGTGCACAGCTTCCTCTCTCAGTGAACAAAGGGAAAGCACAGCTGGGTGCTGAATATCTGAAGTCTGTCCTAGAATTTTCACTCTCAAAAAGAGGCAGACCATATGTTTCTGGAGAAAATAGTGATTCAGGGGTGAGTGGAATGAGTGGATAATGAAGCTCAAAGCCACATGAAGCATCAAGGACTGTAAGGCATAAAAGATAAGACAGATGATATTTGAGGGTTTTTTTCCTGTTTATCTTAGTTTTCCTTTATTCTAATCCATCATTGCATTTCTTTCCCTTTTGGACTTGAAATGTCATTGCAGGAGCAAATGAGAATTAGAAGATCATTGAGCTAGTTTTAGTAGATATTGGTGAAATCTACAATCTAGAGATAAGATCATAATTAAAAAACTTCTTTGAAGGAAAGTGAAGGCAGGTGTGTGTATGCACACATAGATGCACAGTAGAAGTGCATTTGTATATGTTCACGTCTCAATAATTCACTATTAATTGAAAAAGCAGCAGTGCTCAGCAGGTGATTGGGTTTTTGTTGGGAGGGGAAAACTTGGGGTGGTTCCATCACAAGATAATTCTGTTCTGGCAGCTCATAGGGATGTTACTCAGGAGGTATCAAATCCAGACAAAATAATTTTCAAAATCATCATCATTTGCAAAATCAGAAAAAAAAAAATAAATCAGGATTTGTTGAACTGCAGAGTTTGAAACTCTGTCTGAAGGTTTTTCTTCATCACCAATAATTGTTCTTCTCCCTGAATTTTTGGAGCATTCAAATGCCAGGGTATTTCAGTAGATATGGAAGAAAAACCTGCTGATGTTTATTAAAAGAAAATTGAATGACTTATTTAGTTATCAGTCTGGTGTTGATCTGATGCAAATAGTATAACAACACCCAATGAAGAAAAATATTAAAAAAAAGAGTAAGAATGGTTAATTGCAATCTTTGTAAAGGGGCAGAATCTGGAGTCTAAAAGTTTACCTAAAATTTCTTCTTTTTTGTTATTTCCAGGACTATTTGTAGGTTTGATTTATGGTTTGCTTTCTCACAACAATTTCTGCTTCATAGCTTAAAGCAAAGACCAACTGAAACATGGTAGTTTTTGTCTTGCCTACACACTGATGTAGTTAATGCTTTATGTTGTAAAGGGAGAAATTAAAATTGAATTAGTATTTCAAAGCACTCAGAAAAACAACTGACGAGAATTACACCCCTTAGAATTAGTACAATGTTGATAAATAATAATACATTTATAAATAATACTGTGTGTGATTCTACACAGGAGCTTTGCCATGCCATGAGCATGGGGGGAATTTATTTGAAACCTTATTCAGGGCTGTGTGATGTTGAGAAAGGCACAGAGCTCCGGCTCTCACTGCAATTTAATAAATTCTGAAGCAGCAGCTACAGATGATGTGTCAGGTCCTTGAAGTGCCTGTGAGCTCCTGCTTGAGAGAGGAAGGAGGGGATGAAGGAAATCCTGCTGCTGCTCCTCCTGGACGGAGTGTCAGGAATGTTTCTTGGGAGCAGGACAGGATTGGTTTTGCTTTGGCTTGCTGAGGTTTTGCTCCAGGGTTGGTGAGATCCTGAGAGTTGCCAAATCCAGGTGTAGTCGTTGTTTTCTCTGCTTGTGCTTCAACAAAGTTCCCCCATCTGGAGCAGAGCTGGAAAAATCTCAGAACTGGAGTGGGGTAAGGCTGTGGTTCCCTTCGTGTGCTGGTGCCAACTGGGCACAATTTTTCTTTAAGGGGAAAAAACCAAACCACAAACCCCAGAAATTGCCAACCTGTGTTTCTCTTAGCCCACAGGAGTGAGTGGGTGACTCAGCACGATGCCACCACACTAATGCAAGATGTTTCTGTTATTTTAGGATGCAGAAACACTTATTCTGGGTAAGGACAAGCTGTTACAGATTCCTCTTTCTTCCCCTCTGCACTGAATTGTACTTTTTGTACAATTTTTTTGTTTACTGAGCCCTTCCTCCTAGGGATCCTGAAATGACAATATCAGACTGATAAATCATAATTTGATATCATGGCTGGAAATAATGTCTTTGTCCTGCAAATCAACTCCTTTTATTAATTGGAAAATGTTTTAGTGGTCCACATGTCAGGACACTTTTAAACCATGAGCAAGGATGGGATAAATGTTCCTCTTCTCTGCTGCCTTCCCAGGATCTTGAAAGGCAGATGGAGGGTAACAGTTTATTCTTCACAGTGCCCGGAAAGTGACCAGAAAAGAGAATATGATTCCTCCTCCCAGGTATATGACAAAACTGCAGGGAAAGATTTAATTATTGCAATCTATTCTAGGACAACATAGCAGATGGGACATAGGCAATGGAAGAAATTACTTTATGATGTATTGTTGTTTTTTTCAATTATAAATGCTATTATATGTGCCTGCCTCTGGACAGAACAAGGCTGCTGTGCACCAATTTGCAGTCAGCTTGCATCCTGTTTTATTTTCTCTTCTCCCTGAATTCTTTAGTCATATTTCACGTTATAATTGGTAGAAGTTACCTCTCCTTAGGGTAAGGAGGGATATCATGATCTGCCCTCTTGGATCAAATAAAATTTTATGATCTGTGTTTCTTGCCAAGGTGTGTGGAAATATTCCATATTTTCCCAGACATTCAGTGCCCACACTTTCCTGCATGTTTGATGATGAGGACAGGTTCAGAATTGGTTGTACTAAAATCTCTGCAGAGCTCACAGTAAATAAGAGCAAGTACCTTGCCATCTCCCACTGCCTCACCATGCAAATGTTCCCACCCCCTCCACTGAAGCTCCTGCCTTGGGGAGTATGTGTTATGCCCTCAGGACTTTGTGGCACTTTAAATTTAATTAGCTCTCCTGTGTAGTCCAATCCACCGATGGCTTGGTGCTGCTGGTTAATAAGCTTTGATCAAAGTTAATAATAATAATAATAATAAAAAAAGCCTGTTGTAACAGCACCCGGCTGTGCTGTGCAGTTAAAGTTCCATCTGTGAAGGCTTCTCTTTAAAAGTGAGTTTTTAAGGAGTTTTAGTACTTAGCCATCTTAATTTACCTCGGGTTTAAATTATTTCTCTTTTTGTCAGGCTGTAATTGAAAATGGTTCATCCTAGAGGAATAATCTCATTTCCCTTTCCTTTAAAGCTGTAGATACCTTTTCTTTTCTTCTCCCTGAAACTTGATACTGATTTTTCCCCCCACAACCTGATTGTTTTATGCCTCTGAAATAGTTGTGGTGGCCAAACTGGTTTCCCTCTGTGTTACACCAGGTGTCATGGGCAAAATACATTTACAGTACAAGTATCAAGATGTTCCATGTCCCTTTAAAAATCCTGTTGTGAGTATTGAACTAAGAGGGATTTATAACATGTTACCTTGACATTTATCTATGAAAATTATCAAAAATGCTTATATCTCTGCATATTCTATACACACACTTTTACTGTTCCTTCTTCAGCATTTAAAGTGATGCAGCTGAAAGTGGCTTCCCCAAAATGAGTCATTATTCACTGCAATTCTAC